ACTCTTTTTTAAATGGTATTTCGTTTAATATCAGTGTCTTCTCGGGGCACAAACTTATATCATTTAAGAATTGATTCAGAGTTACCATCAGTCTTTGTGGTGCATAACTTAATATCTATAATTGCGATAAAACTCAGCTTTCTTCTTCTTTTATTTTTTAAAGAACTTCACAAAAGTTTTCAATTTTCTCAAATCATGAAATTAAACTTACAAATACTAAACAGCTTTTAGGAAACCATGATGACAATAGGCCTAAATAAAAAATAATAAACTTCGAAACCTTAAAATGATCTTACTACACTAGAAAGTCTACTTTCGTTAACGCAAAATTCTTTACTAAATTCTTCACGTAAAGATACCGCATTATTTTGGTTATTGTTATGTCATTTGTTAACTTGTAAATCATAAGAACTCATTCCAAGGAGCTCAATATTTCTCACAGCGTCACTATATTGAACAATATTGAACTGCTTCTATGGGAACGTCTCTATGTAGGGAAGAAATTATAATATACGAATACAGTGTCGACCACTTCTTTACAATACTTTGAATTTTACCTTATTTCTTGGAATTTAAACGAAACATCAAGAATCATACTGTGCATTATTAAAAAAAATCGAAATGAAGTGTTAAGCTTTTTAACATCGCTTGTAGCATAGATATATCATAATTATCAGACTTATTATTTAACAGAAATTAAGCAAAAAATGTGATACTTTGTAAATGCATCATCTGGGAAACTTTACTTATTAAACAAATTTCTTTACGCAACCGTTAGACAGTTGGCTGAGTTGCGAACTCTGAGCAGCCACTGGTGCTCGGCAAAATATTTACTGCTTATCGAAGGCTTAACGAGCATTACCTTTGGTGAGAAGTCCACAGTGTTGCGTAGCATTTTCTTCATGTTTTAAAGGACAGAGCTTTGAAGATGGCATCAACTTCGTTGTCAATGCAGCTAAGAAGACTCAGATCGAATACTGTTTACTGATGAATCTAGATTCAGTTTTAACATTGATTCTTGATGCATCTTTCATCTGAAGAAAGCGTAAGTAAACTAAGTAAATTAAGTAAACTTCTCATGTACAAAAGAAAATATTTTCGGCTTACTTGTTTGGGAAGAAATCATTAAAAAAAAGAGCGCAATAAGCTCAGCATGTATGACGGATACTTGCAATCTACTCAGAGGTACATAGATGAAGTTTTGCATCCTAATGGCCTCGGTGTTTTGTTCATGGATGACAATAATCCAACTCATCAAGCAGCTGTGGTGGTTGAATAATTTCAAATTTAAGTTATTACTTGAATGAACTGGCAACCACACGATCTCAGAGCCGTAGGTTAGATGTCACAATATCAAATCCGTTAAAATCTCCAAAGAGTGTTAGTCATTATGATGCAGAACTGCCCTTAAATTGTATTACTTCTAAGCTCAAAGTCTAGAAAGTTTATACGTACAAAATATTGCTTTAAAAGTGATGCGAAGCGTAATAGAGGAGTGTAGATTTAAATTTCAAATCTTACTAAATTAAAAAATATGTTATTGCTTTACGTTATGATTATTAACGGTTCAACACTTAAGGTGCCTTACATCTAGTTGCTGCTCAGTCTTTTCTGGGAAACACTTGACTAACTACACAGTGTGTGTGGTAAACGATAAACACGTACTTCCGATGACTTTTCTTGGTTTTGTTTTGTTTTTGTGGGAGGGGTGAGTAGAACCTAGCGTTTTTCTTCTAAAAGCTGATATTCTAATAGCTATAAAATTTGCGCTTCGTAGAAAGAGTATCATAGACAAATGATATATGTTGTCATCAAAACAAAGTCATTCTGCTTTAATAGCTTCTTAGTACTTTTAACCAGATTTCGTTAATAGTTTTAACTTTTGTAAAATTCTATGTACAGTTTAAAAACAGCTGTATTATACGAAACATGAAAATGTTTTGCACAACGCAGTTTTGAATAAACGTATTTTCAGACGAATCCTCATCAAATTCGAGATTGCAGGTCAGCTCAGAAGTAGGCATTTACAAGTTATTCCCATTCATTCATTGTACACTTCAACATAATCTACATTTTTATTAACTTTTGCTACCCATAAAGTTTAACTAACATATAAAGCTTTGTTTTAAGCAACCAGACGTACCAGATAGAGTGATACAATTTTGAAATTCAGGGCAGCATCTCACCCGAATTATGTAAATAACTGACACGAATTTAGCAGCTTCATGTAGTCATAAAGATGTTTTTGTGGTGTAAGTATAGAAAAGCATTGTAACTCAACAATAAATGCTCACTCAAGGGTTTCAAATAAGCACTTAAGAGAACTTGAGCGTTGGAAACAACAGAAAAAATAGAGTTATTTATAAAGAACAGTAGCTTGCGAAAGAAGTTTCATTTGCACTTGATACTTGGGAAACTGGTAAATAAAATTAAATCGGCTGCATAATTAAGATGCAAGAGCTCATGAATTAAAAATACTCAACATCATCGAGCTGCTGTGCTTGTTCAAGACCTTCAAACTTAGGATATATTTGAATGGATTGATCATCATATTTGCTTGACCTCAGAGCCGTAAGTTTGAAGTTACGAAGATTGGAAAAACGTTAGAATGTCAAAATGTAAATACACCAAAACAAAAATGGACAGTATGCTGTCAAAATATAAATATTAATATACCGGCAGCATTCATAACTTGTCTCTGTTTCCTGAAACAAGAGCAGCAACATTGCGTATATCCCGATAGCAAAATACACAATGCCAACGTAAAAAATAATTATTGACAGTCTGAAATTTACTATATTCACAAATTGCAATAGCACAAAGGTCTGAAAAGAGTTCTGCAAGCTGATAAAGAGAAAATAGGAATCAGAGTACCGATGTATTCCGTGATTTGGGTTAATGGAATATTGGTGGAATAAGAACTAGCAATTTTGAAATCGTTAAATTTTGGCAGTTTCCAGCTTTAGTATTTATTGATTTTCTCGACAGATGACAATATGTTCGTTTCCTGGTTGCTCAGTCCCCAAATTTGAAGGGAAATTGAAATTTGGTTGTAAGCTTCTCCAGTTTTCGCCAAATTTCTTTGCTGTAGAAAAAGATAATAGATTTATGCCAGTTCCTTCTCGAAATGAATTAAGAATTTTAATCAGAATATTCTTTAATCTAATGTCTCTTTAGAGCCTAAATTTAATTTTTGCATTGGCATACTTCGTTAGATTATATTACTATATTTTGTGATGGAAGTATTAAATATGAAAAGAAAATCAAATATCCCCAAACGGCAGTTTAGGAAGGCGAAAGAACTAGATGTTCTTTTAAAAATGGTAGAAAACATTTAAATAAGGTATTTAAGATGGCGTAAAACCCAAACTGTGAGATAATTAGTTTTATATTATTTATTATGAATTTTTTTTATGTTTCTGAACTGCAGTACTGTATTTTATCAGATAGTGAGCAAATTACGTACTTTTACTAAATTGTATCTATTTATAGCTAATTATGGAAATTAGCTAAATTATATCTAATTTCCATTACATCTATAATTTATTAGCGATTATTTAGCGAATTTCCATTATTGATTTACGATTGCTTACATATTTTACTGGATTGCAAGATATGAGATATCCCCTGTATATCTTTGCTTTTTTTTTTCAGAAAAATTCAAAATCTCTTTTAGGCCACATTAAGTCTCAAACATCATTTTAAGACTTGAAGGAATGGGCAAAATTAACTACCCAATGAGTAATTTTCATGACTAGGCATCTTCAATATCATAAGAGAATGGAAACGTTTTTACTTCCACCACACTGAAAAAAACTTTTTGTAATATGCTATGTGGACAATGTTGAAACATTTTGAATGGAGCTTACAAACAAGAAGAATAAAGTTCAGGTTACCTATTGTTACAGCTATACATTAGTTTTTAATATTAAATATCTCAAACCTGCATTTTCAGTCAGATGTTTTAAATGGCTTTGTAAAAGCAGATTATTTTCAGCTAAATGTTCCCTTCAGATACTCCACGAAGAGTAAAGAAAACTTCATACAAAATCTTACTTTATTAAGGAATTATTATTTTGTTCATTATTTTTTATCAAATATTCTATTCAAATAATATTTTCATCCTTATGGGACCTGGAATAATGTAGTATTACTGTTAATAGTTAATAAAAAAGCACGAATTACACAAATGAATTTTATTACAAAAATTCCAACGAAAGAAGCAAGTATAAATTATAAGAAAGTACCAGCTTTCATTTAACAACAATGGTAAAAACACAACACAAAATAATAATAGAAGAAAATCATGCAGTCTTTATTTACAGACACAAAAGTTAAGACAGTATTAAGAAATTAAATACTTTGATGCATGTAAGGAAAATACAAGTCACGTGATATTTTTTATTAGTCCAAAGGGATTTGAATCCCGAAGGACTATTAGTTTCGTTTTGGCATTTTGCGTCGGACTCATAAATGTCGGTTCACTTTTCAAACTGTTGCCACAAAATGTTAGAGTCCTGCATTATATTTGAAGAAATTAAATAATGAAAAATCTGCATAAATGTATTGTATATTTCTCGTATTGTGATAAAACAACGGTACATAGAGTCATCGAATTTTGAATAACGTAATCCTCCAACGAATATGAGCATGTGGAAGACCAAATTTGAAATTTGAAATTTGTTTTATGATCGATTTCCTATTTTTTAAAACTTTGACGAATTTTTGATTAACAAACTCAAGGATTTCAAAGCGAGCAATGGCAACGTTGTGCAGAAAAAAACATTTTTATCTCCAGCGCGTGAGTCTCTGTATCGGAAATTCTAAAGATATGCTCGTTTTAAAACTAATGCTCGTTTTAAAACTATTTTGCGATATTGCTGTTGCACTGGATCTTATGGTTTAAGTGCGAGGAACATGATATTTAATAAAGAAAGGTAACACACAAAATGTTAAAAAACGCCCCTTTGGATGTAATTTAAAATCAGAAACATTTCAGATTTTTTTTTTTTTAATATTTTTATCCGTTGTTTGATATCTGCTGGATTCACTACATACTATATTGCATTGTGTACATAAATAAGCTACATGCATGCTTTTTGATACAAGAAATATATTTGTCACATAAATTTCAAAGTATAAAGTCTTAACGTTCCCTTTTCCTCCGTCCTTTTTTTTAAACTTTGAACTTTTATTTAAATATAAAAATACGTTTCTCTTAAGGAGTTAAAACAGGTTTAAATAAAATACATTTATGTACTGAATTAACTAAATTGGAATAAAACAATTTTTAAAATACTCATATGAAGGTTTCATCTTTAAATTGAGCCCTACGAATGGCTGAGTGGTTAAGAAAACTGAATGTTGGGAGTTCGGACCGGCTTCGAACTCAGTTAAACTGTCTGAGTGCATGATTGGTTTTCATGATTTTCTTCGGGTGTAACGTGAATATGAACTAATTTACCTTACAAAGTCCTCCCCATAGGCATACCTTGCTTCTAGGCGGTTAGCCCTCGTGTCCTTTGCTGCCATGTTCAAACAACTTAACCATTTTTAAATTATAAATATAATTAAAACGCATTTATTTTTTTAGTATAAAAGTTACAGAAAATAAAATGCTGAGTTATTATTGGCCTTTATAACAGGTTTAAAATCGGATAATATTTTTCATGTTCTGTTCAGGCTTTCGTGAAAATAATATAAAATACCTATAAGGTATGTATCTTTAGAGAAAAAGTAATTCATTTTACTTTTGGTCAATTTCGCCTGGTTGCAGAATGCTAACAGCGAGACCAGCTATTGTTGCAACACATTTAATGGAACTGTACTGTGAAGAAATTTACAGCGACTTTGAGCGTGAATTTAGAAAGACATTGCTGCAGTAAATGTAACTTTCCACTTAGTAACTCTGAAATGTAATTTATCGCGAATAAAAAAAAAAAGCCTGAAAGCAGGAAACGCAGAATAAAAACATTCAAGCAAGCCACTAACACAGTAGACAAAATTAAAGTCTTCAGTTAGAATTTGCTTAATTATTTTGCGTTTTTTGTATCGACTTAGAAAATATAATTATGACATAAGTTGTTATATAATTACGAGGGACAGAATTTATACAGCAATTTATAAAAGTAGCATTTCAATAATATAAGCTTCAGTTAAAAGTCCTTTTAATGAAGAATTCTCATTTAAGAATTCTCATTTAAGAAACACTCTTCGGAAGATGTTATTTCTTCACTTTTAATACAAGTGTAAATAAGAAGATGAAGAACTATGAATGATTATTTTCATCTGAATGATTCATCCTTCATGAAGAATCATGAATACGCGAATATCCTTTTTTTATTCACATGTTCTTCCACTTCGATGCGCATTGTTCTTTCCAAAGCAAGTATACATACTTTCCTTCAATCAATGGCACATACATCCAACCAGAATGGTATTCAACCATATCAAGTCTTAATTTAATGTGAGAACGTAAAATTTACAGTTTGAAAAGTCAAGTTCCTTTGCGAAATATATATTAATAATCATGCATGTATTTCTTTTCTAAAGAATACATAAAACTTACATCTGTCCAAAGAATCCACTTTGATGAAGCAGTCTCATTTTAATATACAACACCATCAAATCTTTATAACAGGGTTTTATTTGGGACTATTATTAGTTCTTAATTTTTCTTAATTTCATATAACAAACAGCTCACACGTTCTTTACCACTGATGCAAAATTATGCGGATTTCGTCTGCAGAAGAAACTGCTCGATATCAGACGCAAAATATTATGTAAATTCGTATAGGAAAAGCTGTGTGCAATAAACCATCAAAATATTTACATAAAGCTGCCAAATGCTCCTTTTGCAGACTTGGTGTATGCAACTGTCTCAATGAATGTTTGAGTCTTGAGAAAATTCATTTCGATAGCAATAATATGTTAACAGATCCAAACAAAAGATTTTTTAGTTTTTCCATAGGTAAAAGATATGAATGACACTGATTACAATAAATACTTTCGAGAATCATAAATATTCGTCTCCTTTGGCCATAAGGTACCCATTTCTGTAAGGATAATGCAAAGGCTCTTTCATTTGATCTTCCACGCGGCGACGTCTGAAGAAACCAAGCTAAAAGTGAAGCATAATAGTGTTTTATTAATTAACTGTAATATAATTGCCTGCTTAATCTATATTAATACATCAGAAGATGAAGCGCATGAATATCAATGCAAGAAATTCAGAAAATTCAGAATATGTTCAAATATATTTAGGTTGAAACTATAACAGTAATATTAACTGTGAATATGAAATTTATAATTATGTGTTTAAGAGATAGCAATAGTAATTTAATATTTATATTAGGCATCATTATACAAAAAACAAAAAAATATATTAAATTTGTCTTCCCCAATGTATGGTTCGTGGACCATAAGCGGTTAGCGGAACCTGCTCAAGTGATCCTCCAATATTTTAAATAAATAAATAAAATTCAGATTAATGGTGTATATAGCACTAAAGCTAAAAATATGAATTTTATTTTTACACATGGGAATTTTTTATTAATTTTCTCCCAAGAGTAGCATTTTATGAAATTCCTACCTACGAACTTTCCACTCTAGTCTTTGAAGAAAAGAGGGATCTGACAGCTATAATGTGGTACTTCTTACCAGCATACATCTAATCACAGAATAGTTATACAAGAATCGGCTGGCTCACCCATTTCATTAATGTGAGTATAACATTTATTTAATGTTTAATTAATAAGGATTACCCAAACTCAAATAGCCGTTAATTGTTAAAAACAAAATGAATTTCCTTCTGTTAACTTAATTACGTAATACTAATATAAAATTAAATAAATTTTAATTAGTTGCATTATTACAAATACATGTATCTTATAGAAATATATGCTAAAATTGCTTTCGAAGGAACAAGGGTAAGATGTTCCACAAAATAGTCTAATTTATAAAAGTGGTCTCTACTTGAAAAACATTGAAAAAGAAGTATTCACTAAAATTGTGACATTTACTAAAATGTTAAAGATTTAAGACCCAAATGATATTTGAGTTTGCTTTCCTTTAAAATTTTAGACAAATTAAATGAAAGAGAGCATATGTCAGTACAGTTTAGGAAGGAATTTTTTGTGTTGCTGAACATTATGAAGTTTTAAATATTATTAAGGAAAGAATATTTTATTTTCCCGAATTTTATGTCTTTGGGTTTTAATCTCAACGCATAGGGAATAGTGCTTCTGCTGGTGGTAAGGAGAATTATGGAAATAAATCAAAAATTTCTAAAACATACGGTTAAAAAAAAGTACATGAGGGACAGAAATACGTTGTAAAGATGGTACATCTAATACTTAATACTTCATAAAATTACTCAACCTCATGAGAAAAATTTTACTTCTTAAGCCCTGGACATTTTAGAATTTTATACATTAACATTGGTGCGCTATATCTGATGATTTATAAAAGTTTGCTTAACTTACCTGCCACAGAACAAGAGCAAGAAGTCCAAGTAGTAGTAAACCTACAGACACAGAAAGAATGAGAACCCACCAAGGCACCGTATGCAGTTGCAAAGTAACAGATTCTGGATTTACTTTAGTTGTGACCTAAATGAAACCGTGTTTTATCTTTAATGCAAGTAATAAAATGCCAGGTGAAAGAAAATTATATAGAAATTATTACAAATTTCAATTAAGGTTCACAATTCTGATAAATAAATCTAATTTAAAAAAGGAATATGTAAAATACAATAAACAAATAATAATTTCAAATTTTGCGATGTTTTAGAATAAGTATACCCCTAATTTCATATAAGAGGCTATTAAAATGAGTTAAATGTTACCTAGTATATATTAATTTGAAAATATTTTTAAAAACTAGCATTCCTATTCGCCACAATGTTGAACCTTGCTAACCTTACGCAATGACATGCAAATGAATTATAACTGTGACTCGACTGTTGACATAATTAGCTTTTCCTAGTTTATATTGTTCAGAAATACCTTACAAGTAATATGTATCAGCTTTAAATATTCATGTAATAAATCATGAATTATTTCCTTGTATTAAATTTGCATAATTATGTTCTTTCTTCATTGAAAACACTATTCCTACATAGGTGCTTCAGTTCCACAGACTTTGACAATGGAACAAAAGTACCATGATTAGTAAAATTCGGATAATTTACATTAGGGTAAAAATTAATTGTATCCTTTTAATTTTATCCTAGCTTAAATAATCTATTTTTCTAAGAGGAGGAATGCTTTCATATAAAGCTTTCAAAGATAAATTGGCTCGTTTTCGCGCTATACATAAAGGAAACCATCAAGGCTCCCACGCAGTCATCCCATTTTCTGGGTTTGAATTCTAGTTAAATTACCAGTGTTCAGCGATTTTATTGCTTGGCTGTCAGAGGGTCCATAGTATCTCGAAAATAAACTTAATAGTGCACTAATTCTTGATAAAATGTTACGAATTGTGTTAAAAAATTTGGTTATATTTCATAAAAGTCGCTAACTTATATTAACTTATTTACTGTGTGATACAAGTCTTACAATACATTCATATTAATTTATTTGTTTTTTGAAATAAGCCTTAAAGTGTTGTATGTGTTTCAGATTCAAACTGAAGCAAGGCTGGCATCTGTGAATCAAAGGAGGCATATACAGTATCGCCAGGCTTTGCTAATTGCTAGGTTTTCCATGCCGGATGGAATTCCGAGGGAGAACACCCCGGAGTCCAGTCTGAGGGCCTTCTACTCCACTTCCTCTACCAGCAACTCTCGAGAGGATTTTGGCTCGCTGCGTGTTTTGAGTATACTCTTGTAACATAGACAATATTATAAACATCCATGCCTTCTCCTTGATTCGAAACTGGGCCCTTCAGAACGGCAGTACGCTTCACTAACCACTCTCCCGTCGAGGCAGATTATATGTATTGCAGTAAGATAAGCAGCATGTTATGTTATACGGAGCTTCAGTATGGGGTAAAAGAAATCTGTCCCATCAAATGAGGCAGAATCTCAGTTCTATACAGCGCCTTCATCTACTCACCATATGTAGAGCGTATCGCAAAATATCAACGGCAGCGCTTCAAGTTCTTGCAGGATTACCACCTTTAGATTTTATAGTAGAAAGGGAGGCTACTATTGCAAATGTCATCAAACTTGAAAGAATATGTAATCTCTGGGGCCATACATATGTGCATAGCAACTATGAAAAATGCAAATTCTAATGCCTAACCAACCTGCGTACCAAAATCTGAAACAAAATGTGAGTATGGACCTTTCGCCGTGAACTGAAGTAACGGAAGCCATCTACACGGACAGACCCAAGACGAAAAATGGTACTGGCAGTGGCTTGCCATCAGCATAATTACATCCATCAATACAAATGGACACGCAGGCTCGGATTCAACAATTCCGTTTTCCAAGCGGAACTAATTGCTCTACATGCTGCTAAGAAATTGAACATGCGTCAAATACAATGATTTTTAGTAACTCGACATCTAGCCTTCAGCCCATATCGGACACAAGTAGCAGAAGGCAAGTAGACTATCGCTATGTGATATTTGTCACCTCTTGTTCCGAAGACCTACTCCTAACCGTCCTATTCTATGTTGGGTTCCAGCCTACAAGGCTATCAACGGAAAATGAACTAGCTGACGATCTGGCGAAGCAGGCAGCAAACAACTTCCAAGATGAATTGATTACAACTCTCCTCCCAGTATAGTATTTTAAGCAGGGCAGTCAGGAGCACATACTCAAAACGTAGTAGGAAAGATGGCTCACAGCTATAACGTGTCGCAGGGCATTCCTCTGCTTTCCAAAAGTAGCAACAGAGTTACGCAACAGCTTCGCTTATGCGGTAGAGAAGAAACAGCGAACCATTACCTATTTGTCTGCTCCCAGACTTCAGAATACCACCTTAAGAAACCAGCTTCCACAAACTTGTCCGCGTGGGTCACTAATACTAGCAGCACCAGATCTGCACAAAATAAAATTGCCTCAATCATTACATATTATGCCCCTGCCTGCTCAGCCATTTCAAGCCACATGCAACTTGCCTCATACACGTCCACAACGTAAGTTTTCTGCAGCAGTAGGATTACAGCGGCACACTTCCCCAAGTACTCAACGCTGTTTATTATATTTAACTCTGTACATAATTCACTATTAATATTATCTCTTTATCAACTGCCTATATGTTTAAATGAGTTTTCCTCCTGCATTAACTTATACTCAGCTGCAATTTAACTTCGTACATACAACGCAGTTATAGTTTTTCCTCTCCCTGATTTCTCAAAGTGACTCGTGGGCTCAAGTGCTACTCAAACAAAGTGTACTGTCATCTTTTAATACGTTCCGAATTACATTTTGTCAGTTCATCAGCACTCATATCATTCTCATAGCCCTAGTACCTTCCGACGAGCTGACATCTAAACTCGGTATGGCTAACATCCTAGTCGCCTGGTCGAAGGCCAAATGAAGCGGCGACGAGTGAGGTAAACAACTGTTAGCTATCATATGTATAAATCGGTAATACTATATGCTATATGAATGTTTTATTTTTTCTCATGCTAGAACTACTTCACTATTTCTTAGTTGAAAAATTGTAACGCGATTTTTGAATAATATCTTTGATAATATCTTTGATAATATCTTAATACTTACGAAAAGTGACTTGAAAGACAGATAGGAAGGATCTACATCATGTGGAAGTGACGTCACTCGGGTTACAAGTTTAGAAGATATTTGCACATCATCTAATCCCATCTGAAAATAATTTGATTAACATGTTTGATCAAAAATAATTAAATCACTTGTAAATAGAATTTGAAAATCAGGAATTATGTATAATTAAGTTAATGCATAAGATCTGATTAAAACAGATATTTAAAAAAAAATCGTAGCATTAAAAACATATTTCGTATTTATCCGTAATAAGCAAGAAAATGTTATATTCTAACAGCAAACTACTTAAAAGGTAATTTTGTTTTCATACTACTTTTTTAAAATATAATTCTTCAAAACTTAAGATTTTATATTATATACACTCAGAACTGTTTACATTTATCAAGGAAAAAATATTTAAAACTAAACACAAAATGTTCTTTAAACTTGTTTGATGTTATTTGACTTCCAGTCAGCCATATTTTAAACAAAAGTATTTCCTCATTTCTCACATCCCTTCATTACAGAGGTTAATGAACACTGGTTATCGATATTAGATGATAGAAAATACAAATGTTAAGTAAACCCATGTAAGTTAAATGTAAATAAATTGTTTATTAGTGCTTATGCTAAAACACGAAAAAGTGATATTTTATTTTTTTAAAAAGTGTGTAACTTTGCAAACGATTTACATTTAATTCAGAGAAGGGTGTCGTATAAAATTTTCAAAATGGAATTTTAATTCGAACTCACATTAACACGTAATATTTTACCATCCAGAGGAAATCAAATTTATCATATTAATTACTTACATTAAGCTGATCACAAACAGGCCACTTGATAACAATTATATGTTTAAACCTCACTTAAATTAAATCAGGTTTCCATATATCCCTCATGGTAGTATCTTAACTGCGCTTATTTATTGATCCAGTGTTTTCAAAAAGATGAAAAAGTTCTCTGGTATTTTTTACTGTCGAGTCTGAACTACTTTCTAATTCAAAGTTTGCCTAATAGCCTCGCGATTTATCGGTTCGGAACTTGAACCCTGGACCGGGTGCTTTAGCTAACACTTACCGGGCGTGTCACAGAGAAACAATCAACTGATCTTTACACAGATGAGTTTTTTTTCCACAAATAAGACAAATGCCTTCACTCAGCCATCTCACAACACCACAATAAAAAGCCTCATTTACTATCTTACCTACTTGTAAAGCAGAAGCTTAAAATCGCCATCATATTTAAAAAAGATTAATTGCAGTGTCTTCGATATATTTACTTATTTTCCTTCACGTCTTTGGTTTTGGGTAATTGACAGTCCTTCATTTTAAGGCCTGTTGCTTAATGTCAGGATTGAAGCAATGACTCATAATCGTAAGATTTGCTTAACTTCATAGAGGATATTCAGAATATATCTCAAATGGTCAAGAAAGATGCATTTTTGTTAAAATATTTTGAGCCAGCATTCCAACCATGGTTCACGCGCCAGGTTGAGTACAAAACTTCAGAGCTATTTAAAGAGCATTAGCTATATAAATGTATTTAATGGTGTATTTCACCCATTTGTGTACTTTCCCTTAGCTTTTTAAATGTACGTTCCAAAATTTATAATATATTCTTATAATTCCCACAAGAATAACAAATTTCTTGCATTTCTTGCTGATAATTTTGCAAACGTATTTAAGGCTAATTCAGAAGTCAAACAACAAAAATCAGCGTTATATTTTCAAATTTTCACAGGACTAGTTTCGATGGTTTTACCGAACCACCATTGTCAGCTGCAAAAGCGCAAATGAAAGAGATTATAATGATCAGATAAGATAAGAAAGCCTGGACAGAAAATAAGCTAGTGGCACCATCTGTTGATGAAACCAGAGCTAAAACATAATTTCTTTAAAGGCCGATGGCAAAGAAGGATTGGAATTAGGATCGTTAACTAAAACAGAAAGATTTTTTTGAATGTGAAACTTGGGGCTAACTTTGGTTCTAACTTGGAGCTTCTATAATTAAGACACAATTGTTAGAAAAAAGTGTTAGAAAAAAGGAAACACGGAAGTCTTCTGTTGCCCAACATTGTTGGTCCAAAAATCACACTTTCAATTTTTCTGCTGCCCAAATTATTCAAAAACATCTTCCATTGAAGATCTGGATTTTCTAGAGGAATTTCACATTCAAAAAAATCCTTCTGTTCTGGTCAACGATTATAATTCCAATCCATCTTTGCCTTCGGCCATTAAAGAAATTATTATTTAAGTTCTGGTTTCATCAACAGATGGTGCCACTAGCTTATTTTCTATCCAGGCTTTCTTATCTTATCTGATCATTATATCCTATCTCTTTCATTTGCGCTTTTGCAGCTGACGATGGTGGTTCGGTAAAACCATCGAAACTAGTCCTGTGAAAATTTGAAAATATAACGCTGATTTTTGTTGTTTGACTTCTGAATTAGTATTTGTTCGGCGTGTAATTGTGTCTTAAGTATTTAAGACTATTTATTTAAATCATAGTCCTAAATAAGACCATTATTTTCCCCTTTCTGTGAATTAAAAGAAAACGAGGCTTCAGGTGACAGTGTATCACGAACTGAACATCTGGACAAAACATTTATTGTATTTTAATCTAATGTGTTAAACGCAGAAGAGCAACAATGGAATAAAATATTCTGGACAGCAAAATATTCGGTAGAGACGAAAACATGAAACAAACTCCGAAAATAAAGATAGAACATTAGAACAGTGGTTCTCATACTTTCTTTATGGACCCCCTTCATCAGTGCTTTGACGATCATTTCCCATCCCTCCTTTAAAAAATTCGAAAAATGTATATACATTATATATAAACTTAGATTACTTTAAATGTGTTGTATAATTCAAACAAGAAAAATTACAGAAAATGTTGATAAATATTAAAGCTTGAATGAAAATAGTTTTTCACTTTCATCACTAAAACAAAATACTCATCAGGTAAATAAAAGGCTGACTATATTTCTCCCCCCCTGAAAATATGAAATTCATTCCTACAATGAAACTTTCCCTTGGTTGAGAACCGTTACTTTAGACATTCAGTTTTCTGGATGTGTTCATTATTTTATAGATATTCTTTTTAACGGAACATGTTCTACTTTTTTCTCTTTTCAAAAATTTCACATATTGAGTAATTTTCATCTCTCCGTTTTCAGGTTGTGAAATAATGAAAAAATAAGACAGATTCAAATACGAGACCAAATAAAGTGATTCAGCTATTTTTCAAAATTTGGTTAGCACGGCTTTTTTTTCCGCAGATCAACGTAATATACCATAAAAGTTTTTTTACGTCTTAAACAAGAATCCGAAAAATATTTTAATCATACTTTATACAAGTATTTATTGATAGTACTAGTAATAATTAAAACTATTAATAAAGATGAAAATCATAATCGAATTAAATCAGGAAATTATTATTGTCTTTACTTTTTCAAAAATAAATAATATTGCATACATGATGGGTAAGTACTTAATATGAAAACGTACATACATGGACTCAGTACAGTAGATTTAATTTAGCTAACTTACTCTACTTGCATGAAATTCGAAGACGAAGTAAACTGAAAGCTGAAATGACAATAACAATACTATATACTATATGAAAAAGCTTAAAATATTAGATTTCTTGGGGGAATAATGTGATTTCCGATAAACTGGAATTACATAAAGAAAGCTTATACTCCAAATATATGATAATCTCTAGTTTAAAACAATAATTGGTGCAACTCATCTAATTAAATCAATAACTGATGCATCGTGGTTAAACTAATGTTTAAATAATGGACAGCAGTTTCCCATAGACATCAAAGAAATTATTTTTCATTTAACGCTGAGTGATTTTTAAGAGAGATATTTTGCAAAGAAAGCTAACAGATTGCTTAAGAGATATATCTAACTTCAATGTAATTTTAAAGTTACTTACATGTATAAATATCCTGGTAGGCTTAAAATAATAATGAAAAGCATTACGTTTAGTATTATTACAAAAATACTTAATTTAAGCTATTCAATCATCAAATTATACAACATATCAGTATTTTATAAGGAACAAATATGTCATTAAAAACCTGAAGTCGTCTGAATTTCATTTGAAAATGTAGAATTAGGGATAAATAAATGAATGACATGTTAAAATTCTGAATTTCAGCAGGCATATGAGATAGATACTAAATAATACAAGCTACAATATAGGTAATGAAATTCTCTCTTTTTCATTTATTACTCAATTACTTTTTTATTTGATCATTTTCGAAGAGATGTTTACTGAGATTTGGTACTTACAAAATAAGTATACCTAATTTCAAAATGATTTGTTCTGCTTATTTTTTCCAATTTAATCTTTCGTTAAAAACTAAAAGATATTTATTAAAGATCATTTGCATACTGCAAGTATTTAATCATCTGTGTTTATGTTTACTGCTTATTTAACCCTCAAGGTGCTAACAGACATCGTTGGCATTCATCCATCATGATACTATTGCAGTATTTCCCTTAACTGCACCGAATACCTTTTGAGATATGTTTGTATTTTGCTTTAATTTTAAACTCTGGTGCCTAATAATGAACTAATTATTAATTTTAATACTTATTATTAAAGATTAAATTATTAAAATTTATCAAGACAGAAAAGCATAAAATTCAGTCAATTCCGGCAACACTTCCCGAGTAAGAGCAAACTACGAGAAAGCATGATTCCATACGGCAATAAAAAGATTAATTTCAATTTTAGCTGAGAAATAAAATCATGAATTAAGAGAAAATAAAATTGGAAACGCTTCTGCTGGATGATAAAACGAAATTAAATTATTCGCATATTTTTACAGTATCAACGGAAAAGAAGCCGTCGATAAATTAAATGACGTACACAGGTGACAGGTGACAGCAGGACAGGGCACCCGGACGGCTTTCTATGACTACTCGGGTATTACCCTGGCCCTGCAACCATCTAGAGACTTCACAATTGTAAGACGCTTTTATGCCAAATGTGTTTATTGCATGTGCCCTATTCCGGCCTGCAGAGGTCTATGCCCATTTTTTCTAGTTTGTCCATTATGCTTTTAAGCTTTTGCCGCGTGCGTC